TAAGAGAACCTGGTTATCTTCAAAGTTTCTGAAGAGGTAAAATGTTAACGCCCTTGAACTGAAAATATTAGCACGTTAGGAAAGGGAGTTTCCTTCTAAGAGCTGGCATTTGTAAAAGTGTCTGTGTTCGGGTTCAGTATTTCCATCCCCAGAGTGGGAAGAAGCTCACCTCCAGGCTTTCCGCCTCCTCTCGCTCTTGCCAGCAGTCCCGGTAAATAACACACGCTCCAGCCGTGAGGGCCCGGCCACAGCCAGACAGGATCTCTTAGACCTCGCTTTACTTCCAGCTGGGAGGAGGAGCTGCAGTGATGAATCTCAGTTCTCTCTTCAAGAACTTTCCCCCAAACGCTGAAATTGCCTCATTACTGCTTGTGAGAACACCCCGAAGGTCTCACAGAACTCGAGGAGCTGTGACTCATTCATTTAGGGATCGTTCCTAGGGACCTAATGACTGTCCTGCGCAGGCACAGCGAGGCATCTCAACACTTTGCAATTAACCAGGACTCTCTTTAGTGTGAATGGATTCAATAAGGTTTTTAAAACTCTAAAGCTTAATGACGTTATTCCGTGGCCCCCAATGAAGCGTGGTAATCTCATACCTACATGGTAGCTCACCATTCTGCACGTGACACTCTGAAACTCACTTCCAGGTGTTGACTTGTGCCTTCTGAGACGTGTTTTGGGAGAAACGCCACTCTCACTGGAAGACTACCCATGCTCTTCTTTTGTCAAATAGAAAATGGACACAGTGTTTCAGTGTGCAAATCACTGTGATGTAGAGAGTTGTGTACAGAGGCAGAAAACTCTTTTGCCTTAGGAAAGTTACGATTCCTGGGCTACAGACTCCTTCCCTCCTTCCCATAGTGCTCTCTAATTATATGGGAATCCAGCCCTGCACGCACTGTACAAGTCAGAGAGATGCTGGCGGGTCTGTCAAGTTAATAATAAAAAAATGGCACATGAACTTGAAGCAGGAAATGTTGATGCCAAAAGGCCTTAATAAATCATGTATGTATATTATAATACAGGGAGAACTAGTATGAAAACTATTCAAAGAGATACAATCTAAAATATTATAAATAAATTAGAATCCTGAAAAATAGGCCCTCGCAAACGTGGCAGATGATTTTTGACGAAGGTGTAAAAGCCACTTGCAGAGAAAGGATAGGGTTTTAAACAAATGGTGCTGGAGAGATTGCACATCCATAGACAAAAAAATTTCACACTTTATATAAAAATTAACTTCAATGGATCGTAGACTTAAATGTAAAACAAAAAGTAAAAAACTTTGTGAATAAAAATAGGAGTATGTCTCTAAGACTTGACATTAGAACATAATTTATTTTAAAAACCATTGGTAAACTGTACTTCATTACAATAAAAAGAATTGTTTTGCTCTGCAAATTCCCATGTGAAAAGGACGGAAGGACAAGCTACACACCGGGAGAAAACACTTCCACGCCGCATATCCAACAAAGGACTAGCGTCTCGAATACACGAAACATTCTCAAAACGAAATAGTGAAGAAAAAATACAACCGGGGTAAACAGGCCCGCCGCACGAACAGACGTCTCCCTGAAGAGGACACGCAGATGACAAATAAGCCCTTGAAAGGATGTTCAACACCGCTGTACACGGGGGCAGCACAGCCGAAAACCACAGTGAGTTCTCGGCAGGGAGCAAAGAGGCTGGGTCACTCAGACACCGAGGCGGGAACCGTGAAACGGCACAGTCCCTCTGGGACACAGCGTGGCAGCTTCTTACAACCCTGAGTGCACCACTACCGTACTGCCTCGACAACTGCACTCTTGGACATTTCAGAGAAATAAAAATTTAACTTCGTGTGGAAAGCTGTACATGTATGTTGACAGCAGCTTTCTTCTTCATACCCCCACATGGGGACCATCACATGGGGACGCTCTTTAGCAGGTGGCCGGGGGAAATGGAAGGGTAGTAAATAGAACATAACCACTGGGAATGGGGACGATGGGCTGGGTGTGCATTTCACTGAGCGCATTCCCAGGGGTCGGAACGCTGGGCCATGTGATTGACGTATTTTCAACATTAATATGACAGTCACATTTCAAAGACATTCGAGTACTACCTGCTCACCAGCGGTGATAGGAGAGTACTGGTAGCTTCGTATCTTTTCCCATACTTGGCATTGTTTGGCTTTTGACTTTTAGCCATCGAGCACATGTGTTCTCACACTGCGGTTTAATATGCTTTTTCCTGATGACCGATGGTGTCCAGCATCTTTTGTAAGTTACTTCCTGGCCACATACTTGCCCTGTTTTGAGAAGTGTCTGTTCACGTCTTTCTCCTTCTAAACACTGGGTCTTCCGTCTCTTTCTCCTTGATTTGTGGAAGCCTGTTTCTATCCTGGAGTCAGTCCTGTTTGGTTACCTGTGTGACAAATAATGTCTCCCAGGTTGTGGCTTAGCGTTTTATTCTCTCATGGTGTTTTTTGATGACTATAAATTTGTATTATTAATGAAGTCAAATTTGTCATTTGTTTTCTTGAGAGTTCAGTGCTTTTTAATTTCTTCTTAAGAGATCTTTGCTTACTACAAAGTCTAGTGACATTATCCTATTTATCTTCTAGAAGGTTTATTGTTTTACCTTTTAGATTTTGATCTGCGATCCACCTGAAACCAATACTTGCATCGTGTGAACCAGCCATCGCGATTTTCCTTTTTCCTGCAGTAATATCCAAGTGACGTGGTACGTACGTCAGGAAGGCAGTCAGCTCCCCGCTGTGGGGTGTTTCATCTCTAATAATGTTTTCAGAACATGTTATTTCCAATCTTTCACTTGTGACCTGTTTGTATCCTAGCACTTAACATCTGTCTGTTGTAAGCATATATTGATTTCAATTTTTAATTCTAGTCAAGAGTCTTTACCATTTAATTACAGTATTCACACATATTTACCATAATTCCTAATATAGTGGGTATAAATATTTCTGTTACCATTTTCCCTTCTGTGCCATGTTTATTCCTGTTTTCTTCATTGCTTTCATAAAAGGAACACAAGTAGTTTTTAAAAGACTTATTTATTTTTAAAGAAAGGGTTAGGGAGGGAGAAAGAAAGGGAGAAAAACATCATTGTGAAAGAGAAACATTGATTGATTGCTTCTCATATGCACCCCGACTGGGGACCGAACCTGCAACCCAGGCATGTGCCCATGACCAGGAATCCAATTGGTGATATGTTGCTTTGCAAGATGATGCCCAACCAACTGAGCCACACTGGTCAGGGAATTATTGAAGTGTTTTTAATTTTAAACAATTTTTCCCATATTAGCGTGTCAGTTATATAGTCTTTTAGCTTCTCAGTTTTTTGATGACCATAAAGGGTTCAGTAGGAAACCTTGACTTTCTAAAGTCGAATCTAAATAAGTACTTCTGCTCCTTTCAAGTACCTGAGCCTGTCTTCACTCTTTTCTTTCCCTCCTTCCCTTTGTCCGGTTGTCATGTATTTCACTTCTCCATGTATTTTAGGCTGCGAAGGAAATTGTCATTGCTTTTTCCCATCAGTACTCACTTAGGTCTCCCCACACATGTGCTCATGGTTTCTCGTTCCTCTGGGCGTGGGCTTGCTTCCAGCTGGGGTCATGTCCTTCATTATGGATGTGTTGCCAAGGAATGCATTTAGTGTTTGCTTATCTGAAAATATCTTTATCTCTGCTTTTGGAGTGAATTCAGAATGATTGTATAATGTATAGATTGGCTGTTGTTTTCTTTCAGCATTTGAAAGATGTTTTATGGCCTCCTGACGTCCACCATTTCTGCTACCATGTTATTGTTCCTTTGAAGTAAATGTCTTTTTTTCCCTCTGGCTGCATTTAAGGTTTTGTTGTGTCTTTGCTGCTCAGCGGTTTCACTATGACAGACCTGGGCGTGTTTTATTCCTTTGATTTTTCCTGTAGTGCTTCCTGTGTGTGTAGTTTGATATTTCCCTGGTCAGTCTTTGAAAATGCTTAGCTAATATCTCCTCTGACATTTTCCCATCTCGTTCTTTCTTTTTCCTTCTGAATTCATCCTTATAGACAATGAATTAAAATAATGACGATGAATATATTCAAGGAGATAGAAGATGTGATGGATCATTGAAGCAGAGAATTGAAGTGTGCAAAAGAATTTCAAATGAAAGTTACAGAACTGAAAAATACACAGCATTTAGAACATGCAGATAAATTGAATAGCAGATTAGATACAGTAGAAGGAAGGGTTAGTAAATGGAAGATAGGTATATTGAAAATATCCAGCATGAAGTTGAAGAGGTGGATGAACTTCTCTCTGTCTCTTCCTGCCACGGAGGCTGACTATCTATTGTACAGGGTCTGGCAGAAGTAACACCATTGAGTGTGGTTGGTACGGTGCGTGAATGTCTCACACGAGATGGACAGCAATTTGAATATTTCACCTAAAATGTCACATGGTGTGCTTGAGTGTGATATCGTTATGTTACAGAATTACATGCTTGTGATTTTGTAATAAAAGGTTTTTATGTAAGATCAGGGGGTGTTATTTTGCTGGCCCCTGTATTGCCCCTGTGCAGCTTCATTTCCTTCCATCACTTGGGTGAGTGTGTTGGCAGGGAGAAGCAGTGGGGCGGGCACAGCCCAGGCAGGTGAGACAGTGCGTGAAAAGGCATGTAGCCAGGGAGAGTCGGCAGCTCTGGGGGTTCAGAGGAAGCCACCAGACACGCGCAGGGTCCTTTTTGTGTTGGGCCACCGAGTCTGGAAAGATGCACAGGCTCTTGCATGTCTTTTCTGACCACGTGATTAAGAAGAACCAATACTTACTTCACTGATGCTTGGCGGTGTATACCAGTTTGGCCTCCCCCGATCTTCTGGTGGAAGTCGTCCATCGCTGTGTGAAATGAAGTGCATTACTGGAGGCTAACTAGCTATAGCCAGGGGCGCAGGCTGTTGGCCTGGTGTGATGAAAGGTCACTGGATTGATGTTTGCACTTTTGTTTCCCCTCTGTCTTAGCTGCACGTGTCCGCTGCTGGGAAGAGTGTGGGGAGCTGACTTGGAAGCTTGTCAGCTGCTTCTCCAGAGCCTGCAGCTCCAGGAGCCCGGAGGTTGCCCGTCCGCAGCAGAGGAGAAGCTGGTGGATGACTCAGGGGGGGCTGCCTGTGCCACAGTCCCCGGCTGCTGCCCCCTGCCCTGCTCTGGAGATGAGAGGAGGGCCCCGCTGCAGGCGCTCAGCCGCGAGTGGAGGGCTCAGCCCGCCCCCTCGCCTCCCTGTGCCGACAACAAGCAGAAAGAGGTCTGTCCAGCCCCGCAGCCTCCACAGGGCCCCACTCACACCAGTGGGAGGGCTTCCCACAGGACCATAGGAACGTTTCACAGTCTTGCGAACTCCTGAATAGGATTATAAAATAATGTAGAATTTTTTGTAGGAGGAGTTTAAAACCTAGAAGAGCAAAGAGAAAAACTTGGGCCTATTTAGTTCTATTTTCTTCTACTTTTATGACCACAGTTAGAATATTCAGTTTCATACATAATTACTATATAAATATACACTATATGTGTCATTTAACATACACACAACTATTATATATACTGTATGTGTCATATATATTGATTATATGTTTAGAATCTATCTCTTACAACATACCATTACTTATTAGAATCAAACATTCAAATATATGTGTTTATCCCATTAACTGTTTTTGGCAAACCAAGATCATAACAGGTGTTTGTAATCTGTTTTATTTGTTTAAAAAAAACACAGCCTAACCCTCAATTGGCTTATCATGCTATATATTATATAAGTGTAAAATTATATTTCACATAGATGTGCATGTGTATACATGCATGTATATATGTACACACATGTAGATTTATTTAACATTTGCCCCAAGGCTGAACTCAACAGAGAAGAGCTGGCGACCTCCCCTCCCCTCCCCTCCCCTCCCCTCCCCTCCCCTCCCCTCCCCTCCCTTCCCCTCCCCTCCCCTCCCCTCCCCTCCCCTCCCCTCCCCTTCCCTCCCCTCCCAGCTCCCAGGGCCTCCTCTTCCCTCTCCCTCCGGCTCATCTCTCCCCTCGCTTTCCCCTCTAACCCTCACAATATTCCTTTCCGTGAAAGGGCCCTAGGACTATTTTTCCAGTTTCACTGCCCTGACCGAGGCTTGGAGCTTTTTTTCTGGCCAGGTTCCCAGGTGTTCTGAATATTAAAAGGAAATTAAAGTGTGGTGAGGCTGGAGGAACGTGTCACTTCACATTTGCAGCTTGGGTTTGACGCTCGCTGCACCTTCGCCCTGACTCTCCGTGCAGTGGGACGAGTCTCCCCCCGGGTGGCCTCCCTGACACAGGACAGTGGCCACCCAGAGTGACACTCACTGGCGGCCTGTGCTCCCAGTTGCCGCCTCTGAGCTGCTTGGGAAATGGACACTCAGTCCTGGTTTTGAATTGAGTGACTTCCGAGAAGCCACTCTTGTCTCTGTGGCTCTTGTCTCTGTGGTCCCGCTGGCCCCTCGTGGTCAGGCTCCAAATGGAGTCACAGATGACCTCAGCCTTTGTCCCCCGAGGCCTGTGGGGGACCCGCCCTGAAAGCCAGGCTGCCGGAGCTCTTGGTAGAGGTGTGGAAACTTTGCCATCTGTTGCAGTTGGGCAGCTGGAAAGAATATTCTGGAGTGGAGGGGAGCAAGGGGTGGGGAGTCCTGGGTGGAAGAACCACAGGCCCTGGGGCCGAGGTTGAAGGTCAGGCTGGCTTTCCGAGGTGGGCTCCCAGGGGCTCTGTCCAGGCCAGGCTTGTGGCGGGGTCTGCTGGGGCCTCAGCACCCCCTGGAGGTCAGGACTGATTCAGCAGATTTGGCCTTGTGCAAGGAGTCTTTTCCCTCCCTCCCTCCTCCTCTCCCCTGCTTCCTCCCTCCCCTTCTCCCCCCTGTGTCCGTCCAGGCTCTCTGGCAGATGACTTTCCCAGGTATAGGAGGATGACGCCTCCCTTATAAGATTATTCGCACCTGCCAATCTGGCTATAGGAAAGCAGAGCTAATTTTGCCTAAAAGAGAGAAATTCAGAGTCAAGGGGAATGAATAGCAGAGCCTTGTCATAGGATGACACAGGAGGTTCCGGCGAGGAGGAGGCCCCGGTGGCTGCTTCTCTGAGCTCCCGGTCCTCCCTCCGCCCCCAGCTCCTCTGCACCAAGTGCAACGCCAGGACGCCCTGCAGAGCTGTGTTGCTTTCCTGGGGGTGGCGAGAGCAGAGGGGACTTCGCAGCGTTTGCTGGGTCCCCTGACCTACGCCAGGCCCCATCCCGTATTTTTCTCTGGGGTTATATTCAGAGAGGAGGCAGGCTTCCTCTGAATCCGTGAGTGAGTGGCTGGAATGTTAAGATGGTACATATTTCCTGGAAAGGGCAACATTATGGGAACAGAGAACATTTCAGTTGCTGCCAGGAATCGGGGCTGAGGGGAGGGGCTGGTCACAAAGAGCTGCAGGAAGGAGTTTGGAGTGTGTGTGTGTGTGCAGTAGAACCGTTCTGTATCTTGGTTATGCATCCTATGTCTAAATCTGTAACCTTACACCAAAAGGAGTGAAATTTAATGCATATCACTTCAAAAAAGTGACACCTACCTATTTCAAAGCAAGGCAGGAGGTGTCTGAATCCATTGCGCTCAGCTTAGGGCTGTGGAAGATAGTAAAATATGGTGGGAGGAGCCTGAGGTGGGGAGACTGCCTGCAGGCTGCTGCATTTCCTTATCTGCTCAAAACAGTGAGGGTGAGGAAAACGACCTAAATAACATAATGCACCTGAATATGAGTGGCACAGAAAGAGTAGGGGTCAAAAATGTGTGTGCTCATCACCTTCGGACAGTTACTGATGTCTCTAAGATGTTTGAACAATACTATATCTTGCCTTCTTGATGAAGAAGCAGAAGTGAGCAATGAAGTAGTGGAAGACAGCTGAGAAAATAAAGGTTTAATAAAGGAAGCGTCTTGTTCGTATTTGGATTGAGGGTTTTAGACCCTGGAAGGCACAGAGAAACGACCACTGAGGGTGTTGTTTGGAAGGCGATTTAGTTTTCCCGCCTGGGTTCTGCAGGGAGTTATTGAAGTCTGGGGCACTTGTGTGCCTATCCTGTGGCGAACGCGTCTATTTGCTTTGTAGCTCTGAGTCGGCTCGGTTTTGGAACTCCCCGAGGGGTCTGGCCACCCCACCCTGGTTTCTCTGTTGAAGTGTGACGCCCTGAAGGCAGTCAGTTTCTTCTCAACCCAAATCTTCCGTGGAAAATTTCTGACTTCGAGGGGTCCACAGGGAGCTGGATTGGTGAAGCCTTCACTGTGCTTATTTGGCCTACGTGATTCTGTGCCTTTCGCTCGCGCTTTGTTAGCACAAGTGCTTTGTCATTAATTAAAGCTTTCACTGTGTTTATGGTCCCATCGGGCCACTCCGCACCATTTCCCCCATTTTACAGCTGGGTCCACGGAGGCACAGTAAACTGCTTTGGGCTTTGTCATGAGGGCGTGGGCCTGAGGGTCACGGGCCAGTCTTAGCGTGCTCTTCCTCGGTCGTAAGAGCCTCCTCTGTTTTGGTTTCCTTGAGCCTCTCCTGCAAGCCTTTCCTGGCCTCTGGAAGCAATCAGCTGCCACTGGCCCTGTTTTATAGATATTACAGAAATTGCGCAGGGGCCAGACGGGAGCTGGGGAAATCACCGCGCCAGCTTCCTCCGCTGTGAAGTTGCTCTTTTGTCCTCGCCGTTCTGGCCGTAATAGCTGCCTAATTCTTTCTTTCCTGTCTGCAGCCCGCCTGCCGGGGTGCACGCTGTGTCCCTGCGGAGTGGGCCCCTCCCGCGGAGTTCCCTGGACAGCATCACTGGGCCTGGGCTTGTCACCCCAGCTGCTTCTGTTCCCATCCTGTTGCTGCCGCCCAAGGGGTAAAAGAGGCCAGAATGGGTGCAGCCACTCGGAGCTGTGTCCTGGACCGTTTGAGTGGCCAGTGAGTGAAGGTGTCTGTGGTAAAAAGTTCGCAGTGAGAACCAGGTGCTGTCCCTTTCCGTACTACACCAGAGTCCCAATTCCATTTCACTCCGTTTCACGCGACAGGAAAGCTGGAGGAAAGGCTTTCTGTGGTGAAGGCGTGTGTGCTCACTCACCGTCTTACCTGGTTCCAACCCCAGAGCCGTGTGTAGCGGTAGGAAGGCAGAGGCGGACCCGGGTCTGCCTCCGCTCCGCCACTTCCCGGCTCACTTCGGGCTCAGCTCCCTCACCAGGAGAACAGGGTAAAAAGAGCTGGTCCTGCCCTGGCAGGGTAGCGCAGTGGGTTGGAGCGTGGTCCTGATACGCTAGGGTTGCAGGTTCTCTCCCTGGTCTGGGCACATTCGGGAACCAACCAGTGAATGCATGGGTGGGTGACACACGAAATTGATGTTTCTCTCTCTGTCTCCTTTCTCTTTTCCCTAAAAATCCATCAATAAGAAAGAAACAAGTAAAGCAAGCAGGTCTTGAACTACCCGTGTGAGAGTTTGTGAGACAATACAAGGACACGGTCACTTACCCGCCAGCTGCTTTCCTCTGATGCCTTTTGGGAGACAGCCGAGGGCCAGGGCACGAAGAGGAGTTGACCTCCGAGGACATTTAGAGTTTTATGTGGCACACCCAGCTGTATTGCAAACCCAAGAGCCGACCAGCAGAAGCAATCAGGATGCAACCAGGGTGGTAATTGGTGGATGTATGAAAGAGCCAGAGAGTCACAGAAAATGACGCATGTGCATTTTGAACTTCTTTAAAACTGAAGACACGCGACTGTTTGCCAGCCGTGTGCTGTGGGCCCGAGGCCCTTTGTCTGCAGAGTCTGCTGCCTGCCTCCTCCCGGGGCCCTTCTGTGCACACCTCGGCGCTAACGCCTCATCTGCGGTTTCCAGTTTAGGTGACGCGAAGGAGGCCTGAACACTTCAACGGCGTTTGCAAAGCAAAATCCTCAGTCTCTTTTTCTCCCCCCGCCCTTTTTTTCCATCCTCACCTGAGGATACGTTTACTGATAGAGAGAGGAGGGGCGAGAGGGCCGTGGAGAGAGAGAGAGAAACATCGATGTGGGAGAGAGACACCCAGAGGTTGCCTTTTGTACGCATCTCAACCAGAGATCAAACTTGAAACCTAGACTTGTGCCCTGACCAGGAATCGATACAAAAACACTCTTTTCACCCTGGTATTTTACTGCTTTACACTTACTCAAATTTTGTAATTAGGATTTTCGGTTCGCCTGTGCCTCGGCCCAGCCTGGCCTTGGCCCTGCCTTTGGGAGGGGGCAGGGCCACGCCCGGG